TTTAAGTAAAAGGGACATATATTGGAAGGATATGAAGGGCTCAGAGTATTGATGAGATCAGGACCAGGCTTAAAAAATGAGAAGGAACCAAGGATCCTGTTACCCTCACTGCAGCCTCCACCAACCCCCACCTCCTCCTCTTGTATGTTCAGGATTCAAAGTCCTGGAGTCTGAATGGCTGAGCATAGGGCCCAGTGCCCACTTCCGAGGATGGCAAAGTATGGGAGGAACCAGAATCTGGCTCCTTTCAGCTTCTGTAATGACAAGTGGTAGTGGATGGCACTGTCAGTCAATCAGCCATGTTGAGACCATATACACACAGGTGGAAGATATTTCCTCACAAAGAAAGGAGATGAATGCTTGACAACAAAAAAATTACATTTGTCCACTGCACATTTCAATTGTTAACTCTGGCCACGCCCTGTAATTTCCCAATCCCAACTTCCCAAGATCACAAAGTCTCTCAGAATACAGCCCAGGTCCACTAATATCCCATATAATCTCACTGAATAAGCTTCCTTGTGCTGAATCCTTTGTGTGCTTTTGATTTCTACACTCTGTCTGCCTATGGAGGCCTGCCTGGTTCCCCGGGTTGGGCACAGACCTTAAAAATTGGGAGCAAAAAATGCCTTGCGGACAGTCACAATTATCCCATCTTATTTATAGCACAATGTCTTGGCCATAGGCTCACATACCTCCCCAGCTCACTCCTCTGAGACATCTTTCCAAGCCTGCTCCTGTGTTCTGGATCCTTGACCATGTAAATGCATTTGCCTCCCTTTCTACTCCCTCTCACTCTTTCAGTTTTTAAAATTTACTGATTTTCCTTTCTTTCGTTGCCATAGCCTAGACTTCTCTTTTCAGGAATGCCTTGGTATCTACCTACTTCTGATCGGTAGTCTTCACTTCTGCATGTTCTGGTGGTGATTATTTCCACTTTGTGCTTCTAGTCTAGTTCGTGAGTCTTATGTGGCTTCTCTCTGGCCAACCACATCTCCTGGGATTCTGTATCCAAATCCATCTGCACTATGTCCTGAGCCTATGCACTGTCGTTGCTGGCTCAATCATTTGGAATTTCCAGAACTCATGTTCATGGTGGTAGGAGCAATTAATGTAATATGACTTTTGTAGCTAGTTAGAAGAGAGGCTCAAGATTTATCATATATTTTTTTTTTTTAATTTTGAATCCTGTCAATTTTTTTTTTTTTAAAGATTTTATTTTTTCCTTTTTCTCCCCAAAGCCCCCCGGTACATAGTTGTGTATTCTTCATTGTGGGTTCTTCTAGTTGTGGCATGTGGGACGCTGCCTCAGCGTGGTGTGATGAGCAGTGCCATGTCTGCGCCCAGGATTCGAACTAACGAAACACTGGGCCGCCTGCAGCGGAGCGCGCGAACTTAACCACTCGGCCACAGGGCCAGCCCCAAGATTTATCAGATTTTTAAGTCCCAGTTACCTCTCTGTCCCAAATTCTAATAAATGGTCTACTGTACCTTTTGCTCAACAGCCAATCTTCAGGCTGAATCTCAGTTGTAATGTAAAGCTTTTGACTTCTTCCCTTTGTGCCAGTCCTGCTTTGGTAATGCATTAGTGCTTTAGTCTTTTCCGGGACTGTAACCTTGCCTTGTGCTGGAGTCCTGACGTTGACATTGAGCCTTTCTGTCTGTGACACATTTCTCTGGTGCCACCTGCTTGTTTCTTGATGCCAAAGGCCAAGCACACCTTTAAAATGCTCTAGGAGGAAAGTGGCCACAATTGTGGACAGCTTTTAAGAATATAGTGAAACTGCCTTGGGTCTTGTGAAATAGCAGAGTTCACTGAACTTCACTGGTTAGCACTCTAATACCTGTTTCTGTTTCTGTGTTTGCTTCTGAGCTCCTGTTCCAGTCTTCACTGCTCAGCATGGCCTTTCCCTTTTGGATTAGGTGCTGAGCAGTTCTCTCAGGTACCCCTGGGATCTGATGCAACACTCCTTTGGGTTTCCTTTTCCTTCCTTTCTCCTCTACTCTACCATAGGATGCACTTGAATATGCCTTTGCCTTCCCTGTAAGTGTTCTGCATCAGCCTGTCTGGGAGAAGCCAGCCCTATCACCCTGGAAGGTTTTATGTCAGATGTCCCTCATTTTTCTGCCCTGTTTGCTGAATACAACAAGGACACCTGACATAGACTGTGTTCCCAGAGAGGACACTGCTGCATATTAGCTCTTCTAAACCTTCTCCACTCTTCTTAAGTTTCCCACGTTTGCCTACTCCCTCTTGACCTCTAAGCAAATGGTCTTGCTTTGTGCTTTTCTGAGACTATGGAAGCCATCTGGCAGTTTCTTCTTCTCCACCTGCTCTCTCAAAATTTCTGCCTTCATTCTCTCCCACTTGGAGGAGGAGTCCTCCTTTCCTAGGCTCACTCTCGGCCCCAGTAGATAGTGCTGGTCCCTAGCTCTATCAGGCATTCTGCTCTTTCTGGGCATTTTCAATGTCTCTTCCTCTCTGTAGGATTCTTCCCATCTACCTTTAAATCAGTTTGATCTGTTGCCTCCAAAAGAGTGGTCCTCTGTTCTCCCCTTGCCAAACTTCTTGAATTCGTGTGCTCCACACATGCACTGGGCTTCCTCACTACTATTTCACTCCAAATGCCCTGCAATCTGGCTTCTATTGTCACCAAATTCTAAAGTTCCTCTCTCAAAGTTCACTGTTAGCCTCCTAACTGCCAAACATAAGAGCTCATTCTCAGATTTTATGTCCTTTGTCCTGTCAGCAACACTGGTGCTTAAAATAGTTGATCGGATCTTTCCTCATTGAAATTATTTTCTTTTCTATATGACCATCTTATTTTTATTGAATGTTTGGATGCAATTTAGCTTTTCCATGTGTTTCTCTCTTCTTGATGGCTAGATGTAAGTTCCCTGAGCCTGGGAACTGTATGTTATAGATAGATAGATAGATAGATAGATAGATAGATAGATAGATAGATATAGATTGTAGTTCCAAGAGCAACTAGCTTCATGCTATGCACAAATTGGTGCATAATAAATATTTTCTAAATGAAGAAATAGCACTATTCAGAGTGAAGTGTTCATTCAGTCACTTATTCATTTATGAACAAATGCTTCTTGTGCACTCACTATATATAGATTCTGTTATGTGCTGTGGTGTAGGAACTCACAAGACATGCATAGTTCCTGCTTTCAGAGAACCTATAGTCCAGTGGGGAATGTTTATACATAATTATAATACAGAACGATAAGTGCCCTGATGGGGAAGCACTTAACTGGAGGGCTGAGGGTCAGGGAAGATTTCTTGGAAGAAATAATATATAAGCTAAAAGTTAGTAAGGCAAAGGGAGGGAAGAGGAAGCAAGTGTTCCTGGCAAAGGAAACCGTATGTTCAGGGGTTAGAGGACATGACACTTTTGAGGAACTCACTGAAAGAAAATCAGAGCCATGGTGTATAGAGAAGAGGGAGATGAAGCAAACAAGTAGGTGGGTTGTGTCTAAATCAAAACAAACATTTCACCCTCTTCCCCACTTTCAAATATTTTACTACTTAATCCTTAAGCCTTTTGAGTGGTAGGTGGCAGCTGTTTTACAATAGAGAAAGTGAATTTTGTAGAATTGAAACTCACTAAGTCAATAGCAAATCTGAAAATATCATCAATTCTTAATGCAGTCTCCTTTTTAATCGGGCACCTTAGCAATAAGAACAAACGGGGAAAGATATAAGATCATTTTTAGGGGCTGGCCTGGTGGCGCAGTGGTTAAGTTTGCACGTTCCGCTTCTCGTCAGCCTGGGGTTCACTGGTTCGGATCCCGGGTGTGGACATGGCACCGCTTGGCATGCCATGCTGTAGTAGGCGTCCCACATATAAAGTAGAGGAAGATGGGCATGGATGTTAGCTCAGGGCCAGGCTTCCTCAGCAAAAAAGAGGAGGACTGGCAGTAGTTAGCTCAGGGCTAATCTTTCTAAAAAAAAATCACATTAAAAAAATCCATTAGAGAGCTGAAGATACAAAGAAACCTAAGTGAGTTATATTTGTAGAGAAAGGAGACACATGGCACTGTTCATCACTAGAAGAAGAGTGGGAAAGGGAGAAGTCCACCATAGACAGGTAAAGAGAAACCAAGCTAACTGACCATGAACTTTCATGACCACATGGGGGCTGATGTGATGGCATCCTCAGTCACAGAGCATGTCAGTACCCAACTGCCAACACTACCTTGGGTCTTCACTAAGTGCACAGGGAAAGGATGTCAAAAGTGGAAATCAGGCAAAAGAACTGAGGGAAATTCCCCTGAGAAACATAGGATCTTCCCTAACTGAAAGGCAGGGACCTTCTCTATGTGCAGCCTGATGAAGCCTGGGGGAGGGCAGGGGAACTGAAAAAAATCCCTCACCTGGATGCAGGGGCCTTTCCTGAGTGCAATTTACACTGAAGGCTGGCATCAGGACTGGAGAATTTATAGAAATCCCTCTAAGACACACTGCGTCTTCACCAAATGCTCTGAAGATGCTTCTTGAAGGATGGGCAAAGAGTAGCAAAGGTGAAGCAAAAATCCCTTCTAGACCCTTGAGGACTTTACTGAATCCATTGCTGCAGCCCTCCAAAAACTGGAGACAGGGCATCAAGGTGAAGAGGGATCTCTGAGGTACAGAAAGTTAGAAGTGGGGCTGGAGAGAAAAGAGAACTCCCCAATGACTAAAAGCTAGTGGTCCTGCTGCAGTGCACAGATGGCTCATGGTTCAGATGGTGCCTGGGAAGCAAAGCATATAAAAATCTCCAGAGTCTCCCTGGTGCTCAGATCCCAAGTTATGCTGTAGGAAAGGTTCTAATCCTGTCTTCAGAATATTTAAATCCAATTTTAAACTGAATTTAATTAAAGCTGCCATGAAGCCCAGTTTAATACAGAATGGATGGAAATAGACTCTTACGATTGTGGCCTGATAGAAGAAGGGGTGCACTATTTTCTGGGAGTAAATACTTACTTTTCAATCTCATTTTTTTACACAGAATTTCTGGCATAGTAAATTATGGAACAATGGAAGAAGCAAGAACGTGTGACACATAATCAACAGAAAAAGAGTCAGTAGAAACAGACCCTCAGATGGCCTAAATGTTAAAATTATCGGACAAAGGACTTTAAAATGACTATAATAAATATACGAAAAGGTGAACAACATGCATTAATACATGGGGAATTCCAAGAAGCAATGGAATCTGTAAAAAAGAACCAAGTGGACATGATAGAAGTAAAAAAAATAAAATATGAGAAATGAAGAGTTCATTCAGTCAGTATTTCAGTTATCTATCGCTGCGTAACAAGATGCCACAAGTAGCGGGTTTAGAGAATAACAACTTATTTTTTCCTCATTATTCTGCTATCTGGGCTGGGCTCAGTTGGGCAGTTCTGTTCCATGTGGTATCTGCTGGGCCTCAAATGTCCAAGGTGGCTTTTTTTATTCATATATTCGGTGCTCAAAATTGCAGTGCTTTAACCATTGTAGTTTGCCAGAAGTGTTGGAGGTGCTGGTCATCTTTCTCTCATTCTATGGAGCCCCTCCAAGTTGCTATACCTTGGCTTCCTTAAAGAATGATGGTCTCAGGGTAGTTGGGTTTTTAATATATGGTTCCTGGTTTCCAAGAAGGAAGAAGTGAAGCTGTGATCTGGACTCGTAAGTCCTAAAACATAATTTCTCATGCGTTCTCTTGTTCAAAGAATGTGGCAAGTCCAGCCTAGATTTCACCACTTAGTATGTGGAATAGCAGGTGTATTCAAGAGGGGAAGAATTGATGGTGGCCTTCTTGGAGACTATCACTTTTCCCTTTGCCAGTGACAATTCACATCACTCCCGTGTGAAAACTACACCACACTCTCTTGCAAGGTCACCAAAGCCTCTTCCAATTATGGCATCAGGCCCAACTCCATCATCTCATGCTCTGCATCAAGTCCAGATGTGGATGAGTCTTCTTAAGTGCTTCTCTTCTCAATCTGGAGGAAAAGTCACCCCCTTAACATAAAATAATGAGACAGTGATAGAATAACTGTGATAGACACTCCTATTTAAAAAGAGAAAGGAATAGGAGGCACCTAACAGCCAATGGTCTATAACAATTCTGAAACCCAGTGGGGCATATTCCACAGCACCCCTGCTCTGGGGAGCATGGAACATTCCATGGGTTCCATTGGCCCAGTTCTGCTCTTGGAGATTGATTCTCTGCAGCTTTTGGCTCTGCGTTCTGTGTTCTGGGCTATGATCTCTGAGGTATACTTCTTTCTCTTTTGGAAATGGTTTGATTTTTCAGCTGAATAGCTTCCTTAGCCCTCTTTATGTCCATAAAAGTCTTATGTACTCTTTCTGTACATTTTAGTCCAAACTTGTAGTGATTTTATTAGTAAAATCATCTTTAAAACTTTCTTTTCTATGAATCTACTGGGGGTTCACTGAGTTATACAAAGCCACACCTACAAATCTCTTTGAGGCAAGCCTCCTCCACTTTGTGCTGGAAGTCGGGGTGCTTCAGTACAATGCCTGAAAGACCCTTAGAAGCTTTTTTTGTTTGTTTGTTTAGCAGATGGTGTTTATGAGACTCCATCATAAATCTTTACGAAGTCTTAACAAGAGGTCTTGTAGCCATACCTTTAGTTTGATCTTTACCTTGAGGCTACATTGTACTAGCAGTGCCCTAGATTTGGTCTTTGCCCTGAGACTATTCTTACCTAAAGCACTTTTGCCAGCTGGAAAGTCTGGGCATTAAGAGTACCAGTAGGGTAAATATCTCTGTTCATTGAAATGACCCAGAAGCAACAATAGCCCAGTATCTGTGAGCACTCATAGTACCCAGTCTCTGGCTTCTAAATAGTATCACAACCAGGACTCCTTGGAGAAATGGCTGATTAGGGCGATAAATGTACAAGATGATTTTGAGCATCATGTTGTGCCAGAAAACTGGCAAGCTGTCAAATACTAGTGGGTCATGTTGGCAAGAATGTGGAGAAACTGAAAGCCTTGTACATTGCTTGTGGGAATGTAAAGTGGTTCAGCTGCTGTGAAAAACAGTTTGGCAGTTCCTCAAAAGGTTAAGCACAGAATTACCATATGATCCAGCATTCTACTCCTAGGTATATTACCCAAAAGAATTGAAAATAGGGACTCAAGCAGATACACGTACGCCAATGTTCATTGCTGCATTACTCATAATAGCCAAAAGGTGGAAACAACTAGTGTCCATTGACAGATGAATAGATAAACAAAATGTGGTATGTACACATGATAGAATATTGTTCAGCCATAAAAAGGAGTGAATAGAGATGATAATTGCTACAATATAGATTAATCTTGAAAATATTATATTAAGTAAACTAAACCAGACAAAAAAGGACAAATATGGTATGATTCCACTTACATGAAATATCTAGAATTTACAAATTCATAGAGACAGAATGTATATTAGTAGTTACCAGAGGCTGGGGGTGGGACTGGGGAATTATTGTTTAATGCGTACAGAGTTTCTGTTTGGAGTAATGTAAAAGTTTTGGAAACAGATAGTGGTGATGGTTGCACAAAACTGCAAATGTAGTTAATGCCACTGAGTTATGCCTTTAAAAATGGTTAAGGGCCAGCCCAGTGGCATAGTGGTTAAGTTTGCACACTGCACTTTGGCCACCCAGGGTTCACGGGTTCAGATCCTGGGTGCAGACCTACACATGGCTCATCAAGCCACGCTGTGGTGGTGTCCCAGATACAAAACAGAGGAAGATTGGCACAGATGTTAGCTCAGGAGCAATCTTCCTCAAGCAAAAAGAGGAAGATTGACAATAGATGTTAGCTCAGGGCCAATCTTCCTCACCAAAAAAAAAAAAAGAAGAAGAAGAAGAAGGTTAAAATAGCAAGTTTTATGTTATACACTTTTTTACCACAATAAGACATATTTTTAAAAAACTATGGTCATGTTAAAAGAACAATGAAGCCAACCTGAAAGGACTCCCAACTGGCTTACATTGGGACAAGTTGATCATTAAAAAGGAAAACTACATTTAGTTATTTTATATGTAAAATATAAAAACCTATGACTTCAAACTGATACTAAAAAAAGAAATTGTCACCATTGGGCCTTTCTAAGGCACAACTCACTGCGCTGAAGACTGGTAAATAACGGGAAAGAATTAAGCATTTATCTTGCCTTTCCTGTAGGAACCATATTCAGGGAAATCAATGACTAATAAGGAGAGGCGCTTCTTTACAGAATTCTAGTTAACAGATGTAAGTGTAATAATGGAATGGAAATTTTGTGAGCAACCCCTAACGAGACAATGGATCATCAATTGACCAAGTGATACACAATTTTTAGGTGAAAGATTAATGAAAAGTGTTATAGTGGAGGGATTCATTGATTTCATTGATCAATCTTAGCATCACTAAAAATGGGACTCCAAACATCATGTGCCTTATGATATGGGGCAATAAGAAGTATAAGGTACCATCTACTAATGATTTTACTTAAAAAAAAAAAACCTGAACTTGAATTTAATCAAATCTCCTGCTTTAACCTCCAGTTTACAGGAAATACAGAGGATAGAAGAACAAGTTCAATAGCACCATGAAGAAGCAATCAGCCAAATTCAGAATATAGGATATTTCAGAGAACAAATAACCCAGTTTTACTAACTGTGCTGGAAAAAAGGATGATTGTGAGGAAAGGAAGGGAGGAGTGTTATAAAATAAAACCTGACAACAAAATGCAACGTGTGGACCTGTTTAGATCCTGAATAGAACAACCAATTGTAAACTGACATCTTTGAGACAGGAAGGGAAATTTGAATATGTTCTCACTATTTGATGGTAATCATAAACACTTGTTAATTTTTGTTATGTTTAATAATGACATAATGGTTTAATACGCATTGATTGATAGGTAATGTTCTTAGAAATCCATAGAAAAGAATTTTTGGGTGGAATGACACGTCACGGTTTTATTTTAAAATATTGTGGGAAAAACAAAAACAACAAATTTTGGGGAGATAGATGAAACAAGATTGGTAAAAATGATTTTCGCCAGTTGATTATTGAAGGAGAATGGTGGATTCATAGGGGTTCTTTATATTACTCTCTCTACCTTTGTGAACTTTTAAACACAATAACAAGTTTAAAAAATTGTGTTGGCTTTTCTTGAAAAAGAAAATACAATCCAAAAATAAAGCGTAGGACTGCAGTTCCACTTTGCCTATATTTTAAGACATAGTAAAAGTAATTTGGAGAAGCGTCAGCACATGCCACAACAGGAAGGAGCTGTGACACGTGGAGGCTCGGCTTGGGAACAGAAATATTTTGAGTGGCAGCTTTGAGGAGCTGAGATCGAATTGAATTAAAAGACACGGCCTACATGTAAACAGTTGGATCATATAAGTGAGGGACTTTCTGTTTCTTTTGTGCTTCTGGCCCGCCAGTCCCCTCCTTGTGCCAACAGCTCTGTCTCTCACAAGCTGGAGGCTGATCCTTCATTCAGTGAGTTAATTTTAAATGAAATGAAAACCCAAGTCATAATGTTTGGTTCACTACGCAGGCAACAGGCACTGTCTGCCTCATTAATGATTAACACGGCAGCTGGTAATGTCTTGCAGCTGGCTGACTGGTTTAATGATGCCAAAATTTGGCTATATCCTCCTCCTGTACTGATCAATGCCGGCATCAGCTTTCCTCACAGTGGCTGGAGCTTGGTCCTTGTTGGATACCTTATCCACTGATTCACATGGATTATCAAGAAGAAGGAATATTTCTTGCACCTAGGCGCAAAGCCTCTAATGATTTTGCTGGGCGAGATGTGAAGAACGTAGGACCCAGAATGCATTCATCTGATGTTGGAAGAAACAGGATGCTAGCTGTGCTAAGAGGCAAGGCTAAGTCTTACAAAGAGTTATGGGGCCACTGTTACTAGAGACTGTCCCTGTAAGAAGGTCTAGTAGGGTCCCAGACAGCCAAGAAAAGAATTAAGAAATTGTTCTTCCAAGAGGTGCATATAGGGTCCCGAATTGAAGGTTGAGGAGCAGGTGGGAGCAGGCCAAAGTTTTGAGATCCAGGCTCAAGTGAGCTGCAACAAAGATGCAGCCTCTGCAACAGTGATGTGAATATTAAACTCAGTCTACTGACCTTTCTGTAGAGTCCCAGATCGGTGAAAACCTGAGCCCAGCAGTGTGATTGGGCAAGTGCCTGCTTTTGGCTGACTGAGGCCAATCATGGCATTGAAAGCAGGCAGAATGGAATGAAGATGAACAGGTGGACGTTGAAG